AGGTACAGATGGAAAAAACAGCTGCAGAAAGGAGCTGACTAGGAAGCCATGTTTGGCTTCATTTTTTGTGTTTAGAACCTTTTTTTTTTTTTAAAGCTTTGTCAGGTGTTGTGTGGATGTGGATGCTGGACATTTGGGTATATTTGTAGGCAGACTTTTCTGTCCCGCCAGCCACTCCCTAAATAACCACACAGAGACTTAACAGTAGTTATAAATGCTTGACTGATAGCTTGTTTTTAGCTAGCTGTTATAACTTACATCAATTCATTTCTATCAATCTATGTGCTTCCCGGAGGCTCGTTTACCTCACGTATGCATTTTCTATCCTGCTTGTTCTGCATCTCATGGCATCTACTCAGACTCTGCCCTTCTTTCCAGTGTTCTCCTTCTCTGGCTCTCCCACCCAATCTAGGGCATACAGCTCTTTATTAAGCAATGAGAGTAATACATAGTTACAGTGTACAAAGATTGTTCCACAGCAACATGTCCTTAATCTCAGCACTTGGAATAAAAGGCAGGTAGATATCTGAATTTGAGGCCAGCCTGGTCTACAATTCAAGTTCCAGGACAGCCAGAGTGTTATACAGAGAAACCCTGTCCCCAAAACAAACAAAAAACAACAACAACAAAAAACCTTTTCATTATGCTGAAAACATCTCTGTCCATCTATATCCAATCCTCTGGACAGAGGAATGAGTGTTCATGCTTTTATCTCAAAGCTATAGCTTTTGCTATGACTCAAAGGCTTTTTCTACAATGTGGATTTTAGTGCAGATTGCAAATAGTGGTATTTAGAAATAGTATTTCTAAAACTTTTATCTCTCTTTGTAAACTTAAAACAAATCCTGTAAGCTTCAGGGAGTCTTGAAACTTGGATCCATCTGTTACAGATAAATGGACTTCAGATAAGTATTCCTGTCAATCAGTAGTCTACTGCCCACTGTGTAGACAGAAGTTTCTACAAACGATACCCAAACTTGGCAAGAATTTCCACATAAAGCCTGAGAAGGATTTTAGACAGACAAGAACAGAGTCAAGTTCAGCTTCTTGGTAACTGTCTTTTCTCTGGTAAGCTCTGTTTGCTGGTAGCGAACAGAGGTGTGGCTCCTTTAAGAGAGGCTTCCTGAATCAGTGTTAGTAGCAAAAACATCACAGTTCTTTTCAGAGGCTCTGCCACCAAACACTTAAATGGTGTTTATGAGCAGTGGGCATCAGATTTCTTACTGGTGGCATGGACCTAGAAACTCTACAGAGTTGTGGCAATAAATGTGACTCCCACCAGTACCTCTGCCATAAAGCCAGACTCAGAAAAGTAAGGGATGGAGTGGAGCCAAGCGCCAAAGCCACAGCTTTACTCCCAGTCATATCACTTAGCGAATTAAAACCTCATAGTCAAAAAAAGATAAACAGTAAAGACAGATTCAGACAAAAAAAAAACTCTAAATGGTTTACAGTGTGATATAGGCTTAGGAGAGAAAAGAAAAAGAATAGAGAAGGTCTTTTAAAAAAAATAGAGTAGTTGAGTGTGGTGGCACATAATTTTAATCCCAGTACTTGGAAGGCAGAGGCAGGTGGATCTCTGTGAGTTCAAGGCCAGTCTGGTCTACAGAATGAGATCCAGGACAGTCAAAGATGCACAGAGAAACCTTGCTTCAAAAACCAAAAATTAAAAAATAAGAATAAAAGAAATAGATTTTAAAAAATCTCGCAAAGATGGAAAATACAAAAAGAGTCTAAATACTGTATGTTATTGGGTTGTCTTTGAATTGTTTGACTGCTGAGGAAGGAACAACAGCTGCTAAAAGACATTTGATTATAAATGCTGCTGGATTAATCCAACATATGTATTTTCAAAATGCCTTGACTTCAAAATTTAAGTCAAAAGATATGTTACTTTGGAAAGGAGGATTTACTTTTGTTTCCACAGGAAATGAGAGGCTGTGGATTCATTCTGGGTTAAGAAAAATAAGGTTTGATCGAAGAAGACCCCTGAAAAATCTCCAGTGGGAACAGATGGCACAGATGGTTCAACATTTCAGAGCACCTCTGTTGCAGTTTCTTCTGAGTTCTTCATTCAGAACAGCTTCTAGGCTATTGACAGAGATAATCAAGCCTCACAGAATACTCTAGTCAGGATTTGACCATGATCCTAAATTTTCTTTGAGTTCCCATAGAATATCAGTGCCCCCAATCAGCAGGAAGTAACCTAGAAAATTATGCCCACATTCCCAAAAAATGGATTATAGATGTTTGTCTTTGTTTAGTGTGTTGGATAATTGTCAGGGAAAGAAAAGCTAAACAAAAGAGATTAAATTCAGGATTTTTGTTTTGAAAAGAATAAAAGTGAAATGCTGTGGAATATTGCTCTTGTACACTGTAAAGATTTGTCACTCATATTGATTTAATAAAATGCTGATTGACCAGTAGCCAAGCAGGAAGCATAGGCAGGGCAACCAGATTAGGAGAACTCAGGGAAGAGAAAAGGCTTAGAATCAGTCACCAGACACTGAGGAAACAAGATGAGAATACCTTATAGAGAAAAGTTACCAAGCCATGTGGCTAAACATAGACAAGAATTATGGGTAAATTTAAGTTATAAGAGCTAGTTAGTAATAAGCCTGAGCAATAGGCCAAGCATTTTATAATTAATACAAGCCACTGTGTGTCTATCTGGGACTGAATGGCCACAGGACTGGGCAGGACAGAAACTTCTGTCTACACTACCACCTATTTCTGAGGTTGGTATCTCTCTCTCTCCCTCTCTGTCTCTGATTCTCTCTGTCTCTGACCTCTCTCTCTCTCTTTCTCTCTCTCTCTCTCTCTCTCTCTTATCCCCCTCCTTCTTTCCCTCCTCTCTCTCCTTGCCTTGGTACTACTTCCACACTCCAACTACCAGGACCATGGGCCTGGAACTTTCAAATGTACATCCAAGATAAAAATTTTCCCCTAAACTCCTTAACTTTACTATCTATCCCTATTCTATATCTGTCTCAGCAAATTTCCAATTAACAGCAGACTCAAAACTGGTACAAAACTGCCTGTGATGTACCAGTCCCAGATGTTCCTTCAGAACTCCCTTCCCAGAATGCTCCAAAGCAGCCTACACTTCACTAGCCTCAGGTAGCCCTGTAAAACCTGAGCAACACACTTAACAAAAGCCCCCATCTTGAACTCCCCTCTCCCCTCCCAGCCTTTGACCAATATTCTAACCTTCCTGGGCCACTGACAATGATCCCCTAATTTCAGGTAAGAAGCAGTTACAGAAGAGATTATATCATCCCTTATCATCAACAAATGTCAGGTCCTGAAGAAATTCATTATGAATGACTAACTATGGTGCCTATTGGCATACCAAAGCGTCTGCTTGGCCTAAGTTAACTCAGTACCTTTGACTCTTTCAGTTCTTCTCATCCCACCCCCGAACCTAAATCTCTCCAGCGCAGGGGCTTTGCTTCCCTCTCCCAACTTCTCTTCCCTATAGAAACATAAATTTAAGCCACGCACTCTCTTGTTCCTTTACTCTTGGTCACCTTTCTTGCCCTCCGCCGTGGCCCAGCTTAGCCTACTGGCCACGTTCAGCCAACTACTTTCTCTCTGTTCTGAACTCTTCCAGATGCCTCTGGCTGTACTCATATCTACAATAAAAGCCTTCTCAACCATACCTAAGAGCAGTCATGCCCTCATTTTCATTCAAGTCTCAGTTAGTGTGCTCTCTCTTTCCTCTCTCGGCCTCCTGATTGTTGTCTTAACATGTAAACTCTTGACTTTGGCTCTAGTGCCATGCTTGCCTGTCTGCTTCCAAGCTCCATCCTATGAAATTTTAAACAACTCAATTAAATATTTTCTTTTATCTTCCTTCATTGTGTGTCTTCACAGCAATGGAAAAATAACTAAGACAAACATCATCACAGATTTAGCATGCTCCCTACAATTCTACCAAAATGGCATGTGCATGCCCTGTCCAAAAGAAAAGTTCACCCAGTTTGTTTAGTATGTGTCCTATGTCAGAATGGGTATGGGGGCATAAATATATGTTATAATATTGGAGTCATTCCTAATGGTATAAGTCTTGGTTCCCCAGAGGAGAAGGAAGAAGGCATCAAAACTGATAGAAATAAATTAGTTTGGTCTCATTAATGGTAAAATAGCCTCAGTGGTTTTGATAAGGACTTAGAGTACTAACAGAGCCTGATTAAAGTAATTTAGATTTTTGTGTGTGTTTTAGTACATTTTGGTAGTATTAACACCAAGGGATTAGTCTACATTAAGAAGGGAAGAACAGAAACACAACAACTACAAATGTAACAGTGACTACAATGAGGAGATTAGAGAAAGTCATGAGTAAATGTGTATGCTCACATGGGTATAGCATGCTGAGGACACCCTAGAGAAAGTCATGAGTAAATGTGTATGCTCACATGGGTATAGTACGCTGAGGACACCCTAGAGAAAGTCATGAGTAAATGTGTATGCTCACATGGGTTCAGCATGCTGAAGACACCCAAGCCCTCAGAACCATGGAACAATGAATAAAGCCATTATCTTTATGGGACACACTCAAGAGAAATAGCAATGTTTTTCTTGGGAGTCAGAGTATGAGTGTTTTTGGGTGATTTATCAGTGTATGCAAAGATTAGTAACTGCAGCTTCCTCCTCGGGGTGTTTATAGCCTAAGACTGCATGCATATAGACCTATTGAGACAATTAACCCCTCCCAAGAGGTTATCAGTGATTTATTAAGATATAAAAGGGGGAAATACACTCACGAATACAGGATATGGTAAATCCAGTTGCAGAGTCCTTGGAAAGCAGGGGACCCACCAAAGGCTGCTTCACACCACCTGACTCGGTCTCTACCACCTAGGAGAGAGAGCGACCCTCTCCCTCTTTCTTTTAAGAGGCCACATTGTAGGGCTGGAGAGATGGCTCAGTGGTTAAGAGCATTGCCTGCTCTTCCAAAGGTCCTGAGTTCAATTCCCAGCAACCACATGGTGGCTCACAACCATCTGAAATGAGATCAGATCTGATGCCCTCTTCTGGCCTGCAGGCAGATACACAGACAGAATATTGTATACATAATAAATAAATAAATATTTTAAAAAAGAGGCCACATTGTAGACTAGAAGCACCACCTCTATCAGGCCAAATAGCCCAAGGTCATGGGCAGAGCGAATACCCACTACACCTCCCTCTCTGCTGCACCAAATAAACAATCGAGAGTTCCAGGTTATGGTGGTAGTGCAGCAGCACTAGAGAATTCCTCCCAATCCCAACAGTATGTGTATCTGTCCTTCCTTCATTTCCTCATTGCCCTTTGCCGGGGTTCCAGGACCCGAGCTGCTCAAGACTTGGCAAAAACAAAAGTTTACAAAAGCAGGCTAGGGACGTCCCTGGAGGGAAGTTCAGGATGACACATCAAAGGATACCTGTTTGTCTGGTCAGCTACGTTCTGTGTTTTCCATCAGGTTCCGTAGTGGGTCTTTTGTCAGTGGGTGTCCTCTTGGCTCAAGTATAGTGTGTTCAGCCTCTCTCAGCAGTGTACAATGTTGTCTTGATGTTGGGCAGAATTGAGTTTCTCTTCTCTCCAAGTGGCGTTAGCTTATCTAACACCTGGCTGATTCGGGATGTCCTTCTGTACACTGTGAATACGTGCTGCTTTTATTGGTTGATGAATAAAGCTCCTTTGTCCTATGGCAGGGCAGAATATAGCTAGTTGGAAAAGGCAAACTGAATACATGGAGAAAGAAGGTGAAGTCAGGGAGATGCTAGCAACCCCAGAGAAGTAAGATGTGAGGTAACAAACCACAAACTTCGTGGTAAAATATAAAATAATAGAAATGGGTTAATTTAAAAGTAAGAGCTACTTAGTAATAAGCCTTATCCATCAGTCAAATTTTTATAATTAATATAAGCCTCTAAGTGTTTATTCAGGAACTGGCGGGTGGAAGAGAAATCTCCGGTTACACCTGGTAGTCTATCCATGATCCCACTAGGGATCCAGAAAGGTCAAAATTAAAAAGAAAACAATTGGGAAAAGAGGATCAGTACATGTGACTAAATGCTTATGATGTTAGAAAATCTAGGGATGTAGTGACCCCCAGAAAGTTCAAGGACACCAGAAAGTTTGATAGGTGCTGTTATTTTGGTTTATCCCATGTAGTGCATTAACCGAGAAAGTAGTAAAGATACATGGTTATTGACATATATTTTGTTTTGATTTTCAAGACTGGGTTTCTCTGTGTAGCCCTGGCTGTCCTGGAACTCACTCTGTAGACCAGGATGGCCTCAAACTCAGAGATCTGCCTGCCTCTGTCTCCTGGGTGCTGGGATGAAAGGCGTGAGCCTCCACTGCCCATCTGGTTATTCACATCTTAATGATGTCACAAAGCAAAATGGTGAGCAAACTGTACAGCTGTCTCCATCTTGATGATGTCACCAGACAAGATATCAATAAAGGAAAATGGTGACCTTTTGCTTTTGGTTACTCTTTGCTTATGGTGAACTCAGCTCTATGATAAAATGAGCGAGCCTATTCTCCATCAGAACACAAGTCCCTGGGAGATCCATGCATCTTGTCGATTAAATACGCAGAGTTACTCCCTTTTCTTTAAAAAAAGAAAAAGAAAAAAGATGCTGAGTTATGTTAGAATGGAGATAGTGCCTATAACTTAGGCAAATAGGCCTGAAAAGTAAAGAAACAGGAAAAAAGTTCATGCTTTCAAACCAAGAAAGATGAGTTCATATGTCTTACCACAAATTTTAATTGTGAAATCCAAGCAATGTATATGGATCCTGTTTTGACTGTCCCTCAGCTCCTAGAAACAAGCTATTGATGAGAAAGGGAACTCAGGAAAGCCAAAGAAATGGGAGAGCTGCGTGGTGGTAGAACATACCCATAATGCCAGCACTTGGGAGGCAAAAGCAGGTGGATCTTTGTGAGTTCTGGGCCGGCCAGAACTACACAGAGAAACCGTGTCTTGAAAAACCAAAAAAGAAAGAAAGGAAAGAAGGAAGGAAGGAAGGAAGGAAGGAAGGAAGGAAGGAAGGAAAGAAAGAAAGAAAGAAAGAAAGAAAGAAAGAAAGAAAGAAAGAAAGAAAGAAAGAAAGAAGAAAGAGAGAGAACGGGGGGGGGTGTACCTACCACCCATAGATGGTGCTGTTGCTCTGGCAGCACGTGTATAAACTGGGAAGGAGGCTGTTACATTGGCACGGTTTTGTCCCACCTGAGAGAGATGAGTTGCAATCAGACGGATCTGTGAATACTGAACAGGGTGGGCAAGCCTCTGGGCCTGCCAGAGGAGTTGGTTACTCCCTGTCTAGGAGAATAGCTCTTTCTACCTAAATTGTTTCCCATTTTGGTTTTGTGAGAGTTAAACTATCAGGAAGTATCTCAACCCCTATTACCCCATAATGGAGGTCTCTTGCCCTCTGATTTTCAATCCATCTCCAATCAGTTCCCTCATGGGACAGTGCTTCTTAGCAACAGGTTTATCAGAAGTCACCAAGGATACCTACAGAGCTCTGGATCAGGGCTCCGCATTGGCTTTGTGACCGTGATACTTATTCACTAGAGTAATTTGACAGTCTTTGTCTTTGCTACCTTATCATATGCAAAATAGGTTCCTGGTCTCTGTGGTATCTTCTTGGCCCTTCCCACATTGCCAAGATACTTTCTATCCTGGGATCCTTTCCAAGCTACACCAGATTGTTATAAAGAATAAATAATCTTAGTGTCTCACAAAGGAGCCCATGAACAAAGCAAAAGTAACCCAATACGGCAATCTCTGTGCACCAGGGCCACACCAGGCTAAAGGGCTCTGTAAGAATTATACGTCTCTTCTATAAAACTTGTGTTTAGGACAAGGAATTAAAAATCTTTATCTCACCTACTTTGTAAGACTTTATGAAAATGTCTCCATCCTCCCCACCCAGCAAAACCTTTGCTTACACGAAGGGGCACTGCTCCACTCTAGGAATTTGATGACCTGGAACAGTGACCTTTTTCTCCCAGGAGCACTGATCCCTTTCCCCTTTCTCCATTTCCTGGGCACCATTTCTTTCCAGGCCAACTGAATAAAATTGTAAGATCCAACTCCAGCCAATGGAGGGAGAAGAGAAACAATCATCACCTGAGTTAGAATAAAAGTCAAATGTACTTCCTGTTTCCTGTCCTGATGTGTGTTTACTTGTCCTGAATGTACCCTCTTGATCAGGATTAAAGTCTGCCTTGTCCAGACTTTACTTCAGTTAGAATGGCAGTCTCTCTCTTTGTGACCCAGAACTTATTTCTAATAAGCACCCACAGTCAAGATGGCACCTGTCTTCCATCCCTAACATAGGTGCTGACTATATCTCATCCCATAAATTGAAAGTGAGAAACTACATGTCTAATTTGATGTGACTGGCTAATCAGTGTGACAGAGAAAGGGGAGTCTTAAGGAATGTGTGTCTCTGTCAAGCTAACAACTATGGAAGAATTTAAAAAACAGGTTTCTCATAAATATCATTACCATTTAGAGATGTACATTAAGAAAATGACATCTTGCCACACCAATCAGAAGGGATAAAATTAAAAAGAATCGCTCCTGTTGCCAAGGACTTCCACATGTTGCTGATGGGGGTATGATGGTGTTTTATCCTGGAAAACTGACAGCCCCTTCTTGAACATACACTTACTACATGGTACAGAACCATGTCCTAAAACAATGAAAATTGCCAGGCTGTGGTGGTGCACACTTTTAATCCCAGCACTTGGGAGGCAGAGGCAGACAGAGCTTAGTGAGTTCGAGCCTGGTCTATAAAGTGAGTTCCAGGACAGCCAGGGTTACACAGAGAACCTCTGTCTTGAAAAATACAAAAATAAATAAATAAATAAATAAATAAATAAATAAATAAATAAAAGAAAAGAAAAGAAAGAAAATTTACTTCCCACAAACCCCTGCGTGGTGTTTATAGCAGTTTTATTTGTATGGACCTAAACCTGAAGACATTCACAATGTCCTTTGATTGGGTCAATCACCTGAGATCGTCATAGCGTAAAAGTGAAGCAGTCATCCATATCTGTTATGATTTGAATGCTACCTTGTACCAAACATCCCTGAAATGTTAGCCAACGGAAGTGGAGCAGATGATGGGGAAGGGATGGTGGCAGGGGAGGGAAGAGCGCCCTTCATGGTGGCAGAACCATGTTACTCAGTTCACTTAGCAAGTGAAGCCTGCTCATAAACCTTCCTGAGGTGGGAAGGTTTCATAGGAGGAGCTTGCAGACAGGCTCTCTAATCCCTAGACAAGAACCCACGAAGGTGGTGGGGAACAGAAAGTTACTCTGAGAAATACTCAGTTTGAAATAAACTTACTTTTACTTTTACAGGCGAGGGATCCTGGCACCAGAAAATCTGTTAAATACAGACTCATCTGAGTAGGATGCCATCAGTATCTGTGAAAGGGGAAAAGTTACTGCAAAATACTGGGAATGGAGCAAAGAGATTCTAACATTACATTCTTACAGCTTTCTCCTGTATGGAGAGGTGACATAAAGCATATTGGTGTCACATCAGTTTCTGGGTCGTAATTGTACTCTGCAAGATATGCCTCTGTGGGGTCCATAGCTCAGCAAGCATCCAGGGAGTTGTCTGAGTCAACTGGTTTCTCTCTACAAAGAGGTTGTTTGTAGGGCTGGATTATGCAGCCCATATTCCCACATTTACGGCAATTAGAATCTGAGCAACCTGGCAAGGCACAATTTGCACCTACCACACAGAAGATGGTCGCCTAGCCTTTTGATAGTGAGACAACCTAACATCCTAAGCAAGTGGTCAGAATGCTAATGTTGTTCTGATCCTTCTATTGTAATTTAGGAGGTAGCCTGGGGAAGAGGTGTTTTTCAGTCCGCATGACAAAATAGGCATAGATAGGAAGAGGACTGGGACCTAAGTCATTCTCCCTGGTACCTAGGAAACAGAACGCTAGTGAACTTCCCCCTCAGTTTACATTTTGATATAAAGGCTGCTTGGAGAATAAACACCGGTGACTTTGAGGGTGTGAATTCAGAATTTCATGAAGGATCCCTGAAACTCCCTCCAGATACAGTCGTGTGAACTGTGCTTCAATTATTCCCACACCTCCACTCTGGTAGAGAAATGATTTTTGTTGGGGCTGGTCCCCAAAAGTTGTTCGGACAGAATTTATAGTCTTGGAATATATGCCACATCAAAGAGAGGGACAGCCAAGGCTGGGGAGAGGGCTCAATGATTACGAGCATGTACTGCTCTTCTAGAGGACCAGACTTTGATTCCTAGTATACGGGGTGGCTCACAACTGCTCAGAATTTCAGCTCCAGGGGATCTGGAGTCTCTGACCTCCTTGAGCACCTGAGCTTGTGTGCACATCACATACACAGGTACACATGATAAAAATAACACAAGAGAACCTTTAAGAAGAAGGACATCCAAGGCAGACCTCCTGACAACTCTATGAACTCTTCTGAATGCTGCATAACCTGGCCCAGCTGAGTGACCGGCCAGTTTGGCAGTTTTCTTAGGGTCCTTGGAGGCAGCAGCAGAGTTCACTGTGCTGTGTCACATCAGGAAGGAAGGTCCCTGGGGTAGGCATGCCCAGGCTTGCTGGCTCTGTGTATCTCACAAGGAAACAATTATCCTCATGTTGTTCCCAGAGGCTTGTTCTTTCTGGTCCTCACTGGATCCTAGATCCTGTTTCCAGGACAAGGTTGTGCAGCTTCCTGGGAAGGTACCTATGGGTTGACCTGGTAGGCTGAGGCTGACGGTGCCTAAGGCCCTAGAGAGCACAAGGAGCCCTTGGCCCATCCCTAGCCCTCCCCAACTATATGCAAGTCTGAAGTACCTTGTCCACCCTGCCCTCCACCACCTCCAGCAAAGCTCAGAAGCCCCATCACACACATGGGAGGAATGAACATGTAAGAATCCTCAGTGTCTTTCCCAAACAGCTGGAGCTGAGGGAGGCTCAGTTAACAGGCTACATAATCCATGTAATAGAAGGAGGCCCTAATTGCTGTGTTTACCTTCCACCCTCTAACTAGGCCCTGGGCTAGTGGCTACACTTGAACATCTTGTGTGGAATCCTTTGAGGGAGGACACAGAAGGAAGCAGGCTAAGAGGTGTGAGATAACTAACAAGCCCTCCTCCTGCAGACCAGACTGTCCTACAAACTACATATGCCACCAATTGGTAACCAGCAGGGCTAGGTGCGGGGTGAGAGCATCTCTAAATGGTACCTGCTTTGCAGATGGGACTAAGGGATACACCTCAGCCTCAGTCCGAGATGAATGGACTTGAGATAGACACAGTCTTTTTGGATAGATGCTGTGTGTTGCAAATAAGGTAGACTGTGCAAGATGGATAATTAGCACAGGTCTGGGAGGGAAGGGATTTGGGGCACTGTATAAAAGGTGGTGTCAGCCTTATAGCCACTCTTTTTAGGCTGCTGACTCCATGAAGCCCACTAACCCTTAAAGCCAACCAAAACAATCAGTATGACTAGCACCTCAGAGACAGAGGAGCTTGGTCATACATATGTGTCCCAGCTCCCATGAGAGTTGGCACGGTTGTTGTCAGCAAGGCTCAGCTGCCACTGGATGACCTCACTCTCATGGTAGGCTGAGAGGATTACTCATGGTTGCCTCTGGACTCCACTGGTTAGAGACAGGACACTGCCCCTCACCCAGCTTTTGCTATGGGGCCTACACAGGGCCTATCCTTCTCTTCGGCCTCAGATGGGCTTTGCATCCCAGTTGGAAACTCTGACTCTGATGTTTCAAGGTCGTGGGGCGACTCAGATGTTTCAAGACCATAGGGCAGAAGTCAGAACATCTGGGAGCAATGGATTCCTGAGCTGCCCTGCAGGTGGCATCCCGCTCCAGCAGCTGTCCACCGAGACTAGGCCAGCATTGTCAGTTGCTGTTCCAAAGCTACCCACTTGGAGTAAGGAAGAAATGGCAGATTTCCAGGAGGTTCTCAGGGTCTGAACGAACATTGACCCCACCCTCCACAACAAAAGAACATGGAGGTGGCCTGAGGGTTGGTGCCAAGGCTGCCTCAACCCCTGGGCCAAGCTGGCTTTGGAGGAAAAGCAGAAAGTGGACCTGTCACCATCTCTTCTTATCTTCTTTCAGAACACCAGTGATGTGGGATTCCCCTCAGTAGGCTGTGAATATGTTTTATTACCAAAGGTTAGTAAAGAAGCTGCTTTGGTCTATGGCAGGACAGAATACAGCAAGGCAGGAAATCCAAGCAGAAATAGAGGAGGAAAGAAGGCAGAGTCAGAGAGACGCCTTGTAGTCACCCGAGAAGCAAAATGTGAGGTAACAAACCACGAGCCTTGTGGTAGAATAATAATAGAAATGGGTTGGTTTAAGATATAAGAGCTAGCTAGGAATATGCCTGAGCCATTGACCAGACAGTGTTGTAATTAACATAGTTTCTGCATGATTATTCGGGTCTGGGCAGCTGGGAAGCTACAGCTCAGTCCCCATTTCTCACCAGTTCATACAGCCTCAAATTATGGCTTCCTGGTATCCCCAAACCTTATCAGCCTCCCAGACGTCTGGAGTCATACTTGCCTCTTCTTATTGTTCATACAATACACTGCTGAGTGTGTTGGTGCGTGCCTATAATCTAGCACTTGGGAGGCAAAGGCAGGCTCTGGAATTCAAGTTCCTCATCAACTACAAAGGGAGTTCTACACAAGAGATCCCGTTACAAACAAAAACAGGGCATAGAAATGCATTCCTTTAATCCTAGTACTCTGGAGGCAGAGGTAGGGGAGTCTCTGTGAGTTCCAGGAAAACCAAGGCCACCTAGTGAGCGTGTTGGCTCAAACAAACCAAAGCAAAACAAAATTCTACAATGTTCAGAGGAGGAGACTTCTTTAGTGCCTGCCAGGCTTTTCTGAGAGCACAAGGCGCTGCTCTGCCCTCAAGAACTCAAATCAGGGGCTGGAGAGATGGCTCAGAGGTTAAGAGCACTGACTGCTCTTCCAGAGGTCCTGAGTTCAATTCCCAGCAACCACATGGTGGCTCACAGCTATCTATAATGAGATCTGGCGCCCTCTTCTGGCATGCAAGCATACATGGAAGGAATGTCTTTAAAAAAAAAGAATTCAAATCAGGCCAGCCAGTGGTGGTTCATGTCTTTAATCCCATCTCTCTGAGTTCCTGGCCAGTTCTAGGGCAGTCAAGACAATACAGAGAAATCCTGTCTTGAAAAAAAAAAAGAACTCAAATCAGAACACTTTGTATGCCATGAGCATTCTTTACCCCACCCCCACTCCAGGCCTGAAAGTCCTGGTTTGTCTGTGACTTATGCAGGCTGTCCATCACTGATGTGTGTCACTCTGAAATGTATAGATGGCTTGTGTTTGCTGTAATATAAGTTAGTGGTGTCACTGGGCTTCGGTGCTGAGAGGATGTGATTTAAACCAAATAAGACTTAAATATATTAAATAAATGCAAAACTTTTATAAAAATTAAGTGAAATTATTTGAAAAGATCAAGTGAAATCAGTCACGGTGGCACACACCTTTAATCCCAACATTCAAGAGGCAGAGGCAGGTAGATTTCTGTGAGTTTGAGGTCACCCTGATCTACATAGTGAGTTCCGTTACAGTACAGCCAGAGTTATGTCCCAAAAAATAAATAAATACATAGATACATAAATAAATAAAAAGAAAGAAAAGACTAGATGAAGATAACAATACCACACTTTGAAATAGTACTGGTGGGTGCATGGATCTCCAGTACCTTCCCTGTAGACCCACAACAGGTGGGTAAGTGCTGTACATTTGTATATTTACGTTAAAACAAAATGTGGACCTTTTCAAAAGTCCTCTGACTTTATACTATTAACCAAACAACTGTTAGTCCATCAGCAAACACAGACAAACCCATAAATAGGATGATTGGCTTCCAGGAAAAAAGCCAAAGTAAGCAAAGCTGGTGGGCCAGGATCCTGATCAGCAGCTGTCCTAAATCCAGGACAGTCAATTATGGCAGCACCCCTAGGTTTTCCCTCCCCACACCCCCACATCTACCCAGAGGCCCCCTAAATACACATGATGGTTTGCTTTTGGACAAGCACAAAAGCAACAGGCAGGCAGCACATATAAGACTGGGTGATGGAAATCCTGCAGCTTCATCTTGGGGTGTGTGTGTGTGTGTGTGTGTGTGTGTGTGTTACTGGAGATTGAACTGGGGGCCTCAGGCAATCACTCTGCCATTAAAGAATATCTTCACCATATTGTTTTGTTTTTTAATTACATTTATTGGTTGATTGGTTCATTGTGTATTTATGCACACATGTGCATGTGCACCAGCATGGCTTATTTGTAGAGGAGAACTTACAGGAGTTGGTTCGCTCCTTATACCATGTGAGTCCTGAGAACTGAACTCGGGTCATCAGGTTTGGTGAGGTAAGCACCTTTACTCCACTAAGACATCTCATTGGTCCCCCACCCTGTTTTTGTCTTCTATTTTGGTAGATATTAAACATTTGATTCTCCTGCCTCAGTCTCCCAAGTAATTGGGATTACAGGCCTGTACCACCAGTCTTAGCTATATTGGGTATTGTTTGTCTAGGATGGCTTTCTCTAAATAGCCAGTCCTTACAGGTAGGCCAGCAGTAAGGCCCATGCAGCCAGATGTTATCATGCTTATAATCCCAACTCTTGGGGGGTGGAAGAAGGAAGATCAGGAGATCAAGTCCAGCCTTAGCTACAAAGCAAGCTCCAGATCAGCCTAGCCTATGTAAGATCCTGTCTTAAAACAAAAAAAAATTTCATGAAAGGAACATGTTTGACCTACTACCATTGACTTTTGGGATTATGGCAACCTTGTCCCCATATAGTCCAGCCTCCAGTTACATTGACTTCACAGGTTCATAAGTTATAGAACAGAAATGATAACTATATGTTCCCAGCTATTAGGTTTGGAGGTACTTGTTATACAGCAGTAGCTGATGAAGGATTCCATGCGAATTTAGGGTAAAGTGACTAATATGGCTTCTGTCCCATGAACCTTTCCCCCTGGTTTACCTTGGTGATCTCTGATGTTTACGATGGCCTCCCATGCACCCTGCATTTTCTCAAGGTTCCCCTGGCCTTCATCCTTCCTTTGGGAACTCACGGATCTGGGTTCTGTGTCCAGACAGATTGGTTCTGCCTTCTGGAGTCTTTGTGCCTGGTGTCAGGAACACAAGCTACTTCAAAGCCCAGAGAAGTGCAAGTTAGGTCAGCTTTCTACCATGCTGCCTCAGCCCTGAGCCTCTGTGGTGCTGCCACAGAATCCTTCGACTTTAGGCCCATTTAACACGCAACCCTGAGCACCAAGTCCCACCCTGTGCAAATATTTATTTGGCAAATAATGGCTCACCAGGATGAAGGCCACAGCCAGAGCAGCACAGAAATTAACTAGTGTCAGACTGTACCAGGAAGGGTTTGTGAGCAGGAAGGAGAAGGAAGCAGAAGACAGCAAGGAGAGGGTGTCCGAGGTCTCTCAGCCACTGAGCGAGCTGAGATGGGCCTCGGTGTTGTAGAGATACTAAGGAAAGATGTCCCGTCTGGCAGAAAACAGGAGTGGGGGACCTTGGATCATACTCTTTGTACAAAGGACATGGGAACCCCAGGTTCTAGAAGTTGGGCTGGTGGCTCAGACCAGCACAGGATAGATCCCAAGGTCCCTTTCATCTGCCAGCCTGGTCTCTGTGTTCTGATGGGGAGATAATGGGAAGATAGACCATTAAGGAGCTCAGAATGGTACTGTCAGTGTATGAGGGCTATGATGTGGAAAGATGCCCGAGGGTAGCTTGCAGGAACATAGGTGGGGAGCCTTGGCTCAGAATTATCAGGCACCAGAAGTTCCTATTTTATTATTTTTATTTATTAATTATGTTTTTACAATCCAACTGCTGTTTCCCATCCTTCCTCTCCTCCCAGTTACTCTACCCACTTCCCCTCTGCTCCACCAACCAAGAAGTTCTTTAACTTTGTGGTAACTGTAGGAGCACAGTATATCTATTCCCTTCAGAAGTGGATCCTATGGCCAAGATTGTAGCATACTCACGTAAGCCCCACGCTTAGAAGGCAGTGGCAACAGGATTGATACAAGTTCAAATTCAGCCTGGTCTACATAGGGAGTTCCAGGACAGACAGAGATGCACTGTGAGAAATTGTCTCAGTCTCCATTCCCTAACCCTTCCAACCCTCACCCTACCCTCTCCCAAAAGTGAGCCCTAGAATTTTGAATACTGTGAAATGTGATGTGTCTACCTCAGGCTTTCCTGCAGGTCTTGAAGGGTCTGCAGTAATCAAGATATATTCTTAAAGTGTGCTGAAGTCAAGAAGGGGACTGCCTCTGATCATGTCTGTGTACATTCTCTAACCCCAGAGGAGTGACTAGTGGAACCGGACCATCACATGCAGCGTTTTTAGACACTCTGGGGCTGTCTGGAATGATTAATATTCAGCTTTGGCAAGAGCCTGAATTTAATAAAAGTCGGTGTCTCTTCCTCTCCCCTGCATTTCCCAGGCAAGAAGTCAGCCAAGCCTGAGACTCAAAGTACCCTTGGTTTATGCTCTGACCTTGAACCCACCCTTTGACCGTCTAGAAATCTGGATAGCACAGTTTAGGAGGGGGTTGAGATCTATCAGGGTATACATCCTGAGGCAGAGGACACTAGCTCCAATTTAACCCAAGCTCTTCCCAAAGTCAGAAGGAAGCATAACTCCAGATATGGAGGGACCTATTTCCAATGATGGTCTCTCCCTGATAGAGAAACCCCCAATTCACTGGTGCTAATGGGACGTTATCAGCTTTCTGGTAAGCAAGAATCTGTCTACAGATACTACTGGCTTCTTAAGAACATGAGGTTCTAAAACACCTACTGTCAGTGTGGGGATTGTGAGAGAACAGAACACTGGCCACCCTCCCTGCAAAATTCAAACAACAGTAAAATTCATTTGGTAGACATTGAGCGCTGCTGTGCAACTCAGATAGTCCTTTACTGCCCTGTGCTCAGAGAAGACGGCAGCAGTCGAAGGACTCGCAGTCCCTTTGTGGGCATACACTGCTGCTTGTAAATCAAGGAGAAACACCACAGATGTATAGGGTGGATTTCTATCATGGACATGGGATGAGATATTTACCCAGAAACCAACATAAGCAAACTTACAACACCCAGAGGTTAAACAGTCTGGTAAATATGTTAACAGGATAGTGGGAGAATCTGCCCAACTTGAATATGAAGAGTAGAAGGGATTATTTAACCCTATATTTATTTCTGCCAATGCACAGAACAACGTTTGCAGGGAACCTACAGATGTATCCCTTTCTCTCCAGGGAGAGAAGCAACTACCACATAAACCCTGTATTTTTTTGAAATTTCAGAATCTCAGAGTGCCTTACATTCCTTGAGGCCTTCTCCGGCCTGTCAGTCTATGCTTTGTGCCAAGTCTCACACTTTCATGATTAGCTTCTAAACTTGTAAGTGGGCTGGGGCCTCATGGAGAGAGACACCTGGTGGTGGCTGACTTGGGGCCTTTGGATTCAGCCGGTTCAGACCTCTGGTTGATCCTAACTTCTCAACACATCATGCAACCTGAGTCAAGAATCAGATAACATCCTCTCCAGTCAAAGGACTAGAGTTAGACTTGGCCAAGCAGCATCTGACCTTAGTGGTCTCCTTTGTTGCTATTGTTTTTTGAGATAGGGTCTTTCTGTTTAGCCTTAGCTGTCCTGGAACTAGTTATGTAGACCAAATTGGCCTCAAATTCACAGAAATCCACCTGCTTCTGCTTTCTGAGTACTGGGATTAAAGGTGTACATCACTTGTCCAGTTCCTGGGAGTCTTATTTATGGGAGGCTGGTGGAGTGCATCAAAGAGACATGGCTGTATATATGCACAAAGCTCGCATATATATACATGCACAGTATACACAGGCACACATATGTTTTCATAAGCAAACATATGATGTGGGATTACCCTCTGTACGCTGTGAATCAGTTTTATTACCATTGGTTAATAAAGAAGCTGTTTCACCAATGACTTAGAGTAAAGCCAGGCAGGAAATCTGAACAGAGATATAGAGAGAGAGTAGGCAGAGTTAAAGAGACTCCATTAGCTGCCGAAGGAGGACACACTGGAACCTTACTGGTAGGCCACAGCCTCATAACGATACACAGATTAATAGAAATGAGCTAATTTAAGATATAAGAGTTAGTTAATTGGGCAACCGGGAAACGAAAGAGTAGTCTCCGCTTACAAAGATAGACTCATGCACACACACACACACACATTATATACGTATGTACACATAGCACACACATTTACACAGACAAGCATGTATGCAGATACACATAGACACATAGGTATACATGTGTAGATAGACACTTAGGCACACACAGGGATAAATGTGTGCACACACGTGTCTAGTACATTCACCTTTATAGCACCCTCTCCTGCTGTTTTCATGGGTTCTTGCTGCCACACATGTGGGTGTCTAGCCTCAGTGTCCTCTAGGGCTGAAGAGGCCTCCAGGTGATGCTGCCTCTTTTGATGTTTGTACATCTGAAGTCGTTGTAACAGAGGGGATGGTCCCAGCTACACAGGACAGAGAGCTGGGCCTAACTAAATGCTACCAGTACCCAATCCCCATCCTGTTCTTTGGCTCTGGACAGTACATGACCAGTCCAGGGCACAGTTGGCACTGCTATACCAAGTGGAAGGACAATCTTCCTTAGGGACACGGTCTATCTTTGGCCTTCTCTGACCTAACACTGCTGGCTGGCTACTCTATTCTCAGACACTCCCCTAGAGCAGCATAGCTTCTCTATAGCCCTGTTTGCTGACCCTACTTCTTGTTCCTTCCAGAGCTGGGCAGTTCATCCTCCCAGATCTTATCCTAGCTCTTTTAACAAGGTACAGCTTCTCTCCCTAGATTGGTAATTGTTCTTTGGTGTAATAGCAACATACCTAATACCAACCTGTTTCTGGAATTAGCAACAGCTCCTAACGGTATTTATGCCAGGGACAGGCCCCCTGTGTCCTTCCCTCTCCCAGAGCTCAGCAACATTCATAAGGAGATACAGGATACAGGTCTGTGAACTGGGTGGTAGCATATGTTCATTCCATTTGGTCTTCTTCTTCTTCTTCTTCTTCTTCTTCTTCTTCTTCTTCTTCCTCTTCCTCTTCCTCCTCCTCCTCCTCCCTCCTCCTCCTCCTCCTCCCTCCTCCTCCTCCTCTTCCTCCTCCTCCTCCTCCTCCTTCTTCTTCTTCTTCTTCTTGATTTTTCAAGACAAGGTTTCTCTATGTAGCCCTGGCTGTCCTAAAACTTGCTTTGTACACCAGGCTGGCCTAGAACTCACAGAGATCCACCTGTCTCCACCTCCTTAGTCCTGGAATTAAAGGCGTGTGCCACCACCCACCATCTGGCTGGTTTATGCTTTTTATCTGTCTGCCATGGGTGCGTATGGGCACCAGGAAGTAACTTTTCTCCACAAATTAACCTTGCAGCTGCTTCTCTCTATTCATGCTAATGTCCCAAAGTCCAGCTTCCTAGAGGTGCTCACCCACCAGGCAGGAACCTCTGGTGAGCCTCTGGGTTCTAAAATATTTAAATTCTTTAGATATTTTATGGATCACATAAACAAGAGTTTTCCTCAGGTTTCCTGATGGAGCTATGTTCCTTTCCCCTGAGTAATGGTTGTTTTCCTGAAATGCTACCTTTCTTCACACATCCAGATTCTCATTCCTGAGATTGATATAAGCATTTTGTTTGTTTGTCTGTCTGTTTGTTTGAGATGGGATCTCACTATGTAGCTCTGGCTGTCCGGAAACTTACTATGTAGACGAGGCTGGCTTCAAACTCACAAGAGATCCGCTTGCCTCTGCTTCCCCAGTTCTGAGAATAAAGGTGTGTGATATGATGCTCAGCTGCTGTAAACATCTTATTTTATTTGTTTATTCATTTGTTTGTTTGTTTGTTTATTGGTTTTTTGAGACAGGGTTTCTCTGTGTAGCCCTGACTGTCCTGGAACTTACTCTGTAGACCAGATTGGCCTTGAACTCAGAAATTTGCCTGCCTCTGCCTCCCAAGTGCTCCCAAGTGCAGGTGCCATCACCGCCTGGCAGCATTTTAAAGTATTGTCTTTTATTTAATTATATGTGCATGTACATATTTGTGCCTGTGTGTATGCATGTAGTGTGTGTGTACCACAACACTCATGTGGATGTCAGAGGACAATCTCAGGAGTCAAGTCTCTCTTTCC